AAGCCTCATAGTCTGATGTATGATGTATGTTATCATTAGAGTTGAGCGAACCCGGACTGTAAAGTTCGGGTTCGTACCGAACATTGCATTTTTTGAACCCCGGACCCGAGCACGGACATATCACTGTATGTTCGGAATGGATTTCGGTGTTCGACGATTTAATGGCGCGTTTTGTAAGGCTGCAGGGCAGCCAATCCACAAGCGTTTGACTCGTGTGCCCTTAGAAACCATCACAGCAATGCCTACTAATGGCATGGCTGTGATTGGCCAGTGCAGCATGTGACCCAGCCTCTATATATAACCTGGAGTCACGTAGCGCCGCATGTCACATGAGGTTTTATTAGTGTAGGCACAGGATGCTGCCGCTTTCAGGGACAGGTTAGGAAAGAACTCTGCAAACTAGTACATTAGTGGGGTGCACTTCATATCTGAGAGTCAAATAGAAGCATCAAATACTGCGGTTACATCTGAGTTTTAAAAAGTCAATTAAATAGAAGCGTAAAATACTGTGGTTACATCTGAGTTTTAAAAAGCCATTTTTTTGGGTGCTAAATAGAACATTTGGGGTGTGCACTTCATATCTGAGAGTCAAATAGAAGCGTCAAATACTGCTGTCACATTGCAGTTTTAAAAGTTAAAAATTTTTGGGTGCTAAAAAGTACATTAGTGGGGTGCACTTCATATCTGAGAGTCAAATAGAAGCGTCAAATACTGCGATTACAGCGCAGTTGTAAAAATTCTAATTGTTTTGGTGCTAAATTGCTAAATAGTAAATTTGGGGCATGCTCTTCATATCTGAGAGTCAAATAGAAGCGTCAAATAGTGCGGTTACAGCGCAATTGTAAACATTCTTATTTTCTGAGTGCTAATCTGCTAAATAGTAAATTTGGGGCGTGCTTTTCATATCTGAGAGTCAAATAGAAGCATCAAATAATGCGGTTACAGCGCGGTTGTAAAAATTCTAATTGTTTTGGTGCTAAAATGCTAAATAGTAAATTTGGGGCGTGCTCTTAATATCTGAGAGTCAAATAGAAGCATCAAATAGTGCAGTTACAGCGCAATTGTAAACATTCTTATTTTCTGGGTGCTAATCTGCTAAATAGTAAACAGAGTTTTCTTTTTTTAAATGTCCCAATATTTTGGGGGCTACACCAATTTAAAAAAAAAATAAAAAAAAAAATAAAAAACATAAACATAACCCTAACCATAGACATGCGCACAGGTTGTGCCGGGTGTGCCTGGGCACACCCTAATCCCTGCGGCACGCCTATGGATTAAGACCGGCAGGGGAGAACTCAGAATCTCCCTTGTCGGCTCATGCAGAGCCGGCGCTATTCGAGAGCCGGTTCTGCTCTAAGCTTCCATTGGCCGGTGGGGAGATCAAATATCTACCTCACTGACCCACAGGCATGCAGGGAGGCAGGAGAGGATCCGGGGAGCTGTAGCCAGCAGCTCCGCCGGGTTCCTCTCATGAGATCTGAGCGTTGCCGCAGGCTAGAATTCACTCTCCTCTGGACCACCAGGGATGGCAGCAGCACGGTCACACCTCCCTACATAAGGTAAGAAGGGAGGGGGGATATTAACTAATCTGCCCCACCTCCACCCCCACAATCACCCAAACATACAGCACACACACATACAGCACACAAACAGCACCCTCACACACACACACACACACACATACAGCACCCTCACACACACATACAGCACCTTCACACACACAGCACCCTCACACACACAGCTCCCTCACACACACACAGCACACAAACAGCACAAACACATATACAGCACCCTCACACACACACAGCACACTCACAAACACACACACACAGCAGCCTTACAAACACACAGCACACTCACAAACATACACACAGCACCCTTACAAACACACAGCACCCTCACATACAGCACACTAACGCCCTCACAAATACACACACACACATAGCACCCTCACACACACACATCAAACAAACAGCACCCTCACACACACTGCACCCTCACATAGCACACTAACAGCACCTCACAAACACACAACATCCACACACAGCACACAAACAGCACCCTCACACACACACATCAAACAAACAGCACCCTCACACACACTGCACCCTCACACAGCACACTAACAGGACCCTAACAAACACACAAAAACCCTCACACACAGCACACCACCAGCACCTCACACACAGCACACTAACAGCACCCTCACAAACACACAAACACCCTCATCTACATAGCACACTACCAGCATCCTCACACACACATCACACTAACAGCACCTCACACACTGCACCCTTACACACACAGCACCCTCACACAGCAGTGTGTGTATGTGTATGTATATGTGTATATATATATATATATAAATATATATATATATATACATACATACATACAGATACCACGGCATGTGTTTGTGCTTTAGGGTGCACACCCTAATGCAATAGGCTGCGCACGCCTAAGACCCTAACCCTACCCCAACAACTAACTCTACCCCTAACCCTACCCCAACCACTAACCCTACCCCTAAACATAACCCTACCCCAACCACCAACCCTACCCCTACCCAAACTACTAACCATACCTCTAACCCTACCCCTAAACCTAACCTACCCCTAAACCTAACCCTACTCCAGCCACTAACCCTACCCCAACCCTTAACCTTAGCCTTAACCCTACCCCTAACCCTACTCCAACCACTAACCCTACCCCAACCACTAACCTTACCCCTAACCCTACCCCTAAACCTAAGCATACCCTAACCCTACTCCAGCCAATAACCCTACTCCTAAACCTAACTTTACCACTAACCCTACCTCTACCCCAACCACTAACCGTACCCTAACCCTACCTCAACCACTAACACCAACCCTCTCCTGTTTTGCCACTTTTCAGAAATCCGAAGCACTTCAGCACTTCCGAAATTCGGCACTTTGGCAATTCGGTTCGGCATTTCAAAATTCGGCACTACAGAACTTCGACAATTTGGTTCGGTTCGGCATTCTGAAATTCAGCATTTCTGCACTTTGGACATTCGGATGCATCCTAATGTCGGAATTTCCAAAATTTGTCCGAATTTGCATTCAGAACTAAATGAATTGCACATGTCTAGGAAAGATATCATTGTTTTATGCTACGCCTTAATCACTTCTAACCATAACAGTCTGACAATGTCACGATTACAAAAGCTATGAGAAAATGAGGGTCTCGCTGCATTCACCTAAACATGCATAAATAGGGTGCTGCTGGGAGCCAATAAGTACAATAAAAATGAAAATAAATAATAAAAATAAAGAGGGTTTATGCATGTTTAGGTGAGTGCAGCCAGCCCCTCGTTTACTCATATATAAATATATATAGGAGTCTAGCCAACTCCTTGGTTTTGCACCCCTCCCTGTCATAGGTGCCTCATCTCAGGGCAATATTTAGCCTTGTACTGCAGAGAACTCGAGATGGAATTTCCCCCCCAAGTAAGTAGCTCATTTAGCAGACATTTGGCTGTGAGAGTAGGACCTGCCAAAGGGGTACAGTGATGTTGTGGCAGGCTTATGCAATGTATGATCATATAATGTAACTAAACACCCATTATTTTTTGCCTTGATTAGGTGTTTTTTAACCCCTTAAGGACGGTGGGCGTGCCGTCCTTGAGGACCCGGCTCTAAACGCTGGGGGTCGGCATAGCATGCCCCCGCCATCCTATTAAGTTACCCGGTCACCGCCGATCCCACGCCAGCGATCGCGGTGGGGGGACTCACCTGGCATTCCAGGGAGTCCCCCTGTTCCCGTTGCGGCCCTCCTGGGCCACGTGATCGCAAGGTCCTTGCGAGAACCTCATGATCACATGGACGCCATAGCCGTCCACAGCAACGCCAGCAGGGGGAGTTCCTGGAATGACAGGTACTTCCCCTGCTGCCTGTAAAAAGTAAAACAAATATATATATTTTTATTATACATATGATCTAAGTATATATGTATATACATATACATACATAATTATATATATTAATATTAAAATACACGTAGAATGATATTGATTAAATATATATAACTATATATTTATATATAATATAAAATAAATAAATATGTAAATACGTTAAAAAATAAAATGTAAAAATAATAAAAAATAAATAAAAACTATATATGTGTAATTTCGTTCTAACTGTATTTTAAAATTAATATATATATTGTGACAAAAGTACTCCTTTCCCTTGGTACCTTGTCCTGGGATTGGGGTGTTACACACAGTCTTTTCAGGCTTTAGAGACACTTCACACGCTGGATGAGGTAAACTGACTTGCTCTTTTATTGAGGTTCCAAAATAAATGCACAGTAAGGTATAAAGGTAACAAAAATATATCAAACAAAAGCCTTGCTCTTCTGAGCACTAACTAAACAAAATAATCAGCTAACTGGGTTGGATGGCTTGTCCATTTCCCAACATAAACATAAACATAAACATAAACATAAACATAAACATAAACATTTCAGCTCTCTGTTTCCACTCACAGAAACCAAACACAATCTCCCTTCTTCCTTGGCAGGGGAGTACTTAATAGCACTGGTAATTGGCAATCCTTTTCAGGTGAGTTAGATTAGGATTCAAACTCCAGAACTGGACTTCTCCCCAAGCAACTTCCAAAATGTGGAGTGGAGCACTGGCCCACCCTACTCTCCAGGTGCTCCACCCCAGGGCCCAAATATACACATATTTAAAGTGCAACATTCATTAGAACATAACACATTTCCCTGGGGCTAATTACACAAAGTAAGAACCTTGCAAAATCTGGGGAGGTATATAGGTTCCTTCCAGCACAATTCCTTGCTTTCTGTCACAATATATAGATATCAAAATACACGTAGAACGAAATAATATATATATCTTTATACATAATATACATAAGGTGTCCTGATGAAAGCTCTTTAGGGGAGCTGAAACGTCGATGATTTTTTCTTAATAAAAGAAGAATTTCTGAATGAAAAATCCTTGGAGTGCCGGTATCTTTCCTTATTTATGTTCCAGCAACCAGAGCACCAAGTATTTTGGATTTTTTGGCTGTAGTGCAGGGGCTTCTCACCTTTATATCACTATATATATATATATATATTATTACATAAATATATATGTAGAATTATATATATATATATATATATTTGAGTATATATATATATATATATATATATGTAATTTTTTTATTATTTTTACTTATATATAGGTTAAATATAGTGGGGTTAAATATAGTGCTAGCAAATTACATTTCCTGGACTTTCGGCCTGGGTTGTCAGGCAGGTCCCACAAATTGTAATTAATAAAATGACCTAATTATTTAAAATTATTACATAAATATATATGTAGAATTATATATATATATATATATATATATATATATATACATAAGTAAAAATAATTTTAAAAAATTACATATATATATATATATATATACTCAAATATATATATATATATAATTCTACATATATATTTATGTAATAATTTTAAATAATTAGGTCATTTTATTAATTACAATTTGTGGGACCTGCCTGACAACCCAGGCCGAAAGTCCAGGAAATGTAATTTGCTAGCACTATATTTAACCCTGTAACTTTCAAAGACACCATAAAACCTGGGGGTTACTGTTTTACTCGGAAGACTTTGCTTAACACAAATATTAGTGTTTCAAAACAGTAAAATGTATTACAACGATATCGTCAGTAAAAGTGAATTGTTTTGCATTTTTCACACACAAATGGCACTTACATGGACGATATAATTGTTGTGATACGTTTTACTGTTTTGAAACACTAATATTTGTGTTCAGCGAAGTCTCCCGGGTATAACAGTACCCCTCATGTACAGGTTTTATGGTGTTTTCAAAAGTTACGGAGTCAAATATAAGGCTTGCGTTTCACCATTTGCAATAGTAGACAACCCAAGGTATTGCAAATGGGGCATGTCCAGTCTTTTTTAGTAGACACTGAGTCACAAACACTGGCCAAAATTGGTGTTCAAATTAGTTTTTTGCATTTTTCACACACAAACAAATATTAACACTAACTTTGGCCAGTGTTTGTCACAAAGTGGCTTCTAAAAAAAACTAGACATACCCCATTTGCAATACCTTGGGTTGTCTACTTTTGCAAATGGTATGCCATCATGGGGGTAATTCTCATTCCTGGGCTACCATACGGTCTCAAAGGCAACGTAACCAATCTGGTGAATTTTAATGTGAAAAAAACTGAAAAATGTATCATGCTATATTTGACCCTGTAACTTCCCAAAACACCATAAAACCTGTACATAGGGGGTACTGTTTTACACGTGAGACATGACTGAATACAAATATGTGTATTTTATTGCAGTAAAAGCAAACAGTATTATGACATTCATAGTTAAAATGTCACGTAGAACTAAAAAAATTTAAAATATGCATTATCCCATTTTTTCATATTTTATTCATATTAAATTGTTTCATACCTAAATATTTGATATTAAATGAAATCTCTGTTTCCTCTGAATAAAATTATATATGATAAGTGTGGGTGCACGTAATATGAAAGAGGTGAATTACGCCTGAACAGGCATATATCGCAAATTCCAGGTTTTGTTTACGTTTTGATCACAACGTGTACATTTGGCTCAGTCCTTAAGGGGTTAAAAGCAACTAACAAAATCTGTCAGCACCAAAGTTGCTGTCTAGTAGATAAGGGAGTGCGCTGGATTTTCATTTTTGTTGGATTACAAAATCTATGTCTGAAACAAATTGCCTAAATAAAAACTGGCTGACAAAAAAAACCGAGAAAAAAAAAACCCAGCTTCTCCTTTTTGTAAAACCTGTTCCAGATGAGGAAGTATTGCTTATTTTTTGCTTTTTGAAGAGTCTTTACATTTTGTTACATGCTTACAAGAGGATTACTGCATTTGCCTTGCATTGCTTAATTTTATCCCTTATTGTTATCATGTTATATTTTATGCAGAGCGAGTGGGCAACAGAATGAAACTAAACTTCCTTCTACTGTTTCCTTTTGGAGAAAACCAATCAAAAATGAATATCGTGTAAAGAGGGCAAACAATATTCCATCACAATGGTAATGGTAAGGACCTGGATTGAGCCAGTGGTTGCAACAGCCCAACTGTCCTACTCTTTCTACGACACAGGTCTGCTTATGGTGGTGCAGGGCTACTATAACCGGACTAACTCAACAAGTAACAGTTCGAGTGAGGATACTTTACAAAAATCCATTTCAAATTTCTACATAATCTACAACCTTCTCACAAAACTGACCCCTTTCCTGTCCGCTTATATAGTGACAAAGCTTGGAGACAAAATACACAAGAAGATTACTCTTTGTCTTCCTCTGACAGGATATCTGGTATCTACCTTGATATTTCTTTTCTTGATTCTATGGGATTGGCCAATACAGGTGATCTTTGGATCTGGTGCATTCATTGGTTTAACTGGCGGATTCCCAGCATTCTGGTCTGGAGTCATGGTTTGGGCATCACTGAGTTCATCTGAGAGCCAAAGGTCCATACGGCTTATTGCAAATGAATGTGTGTTTGGGATAGCAGGTTTTGCGGGCAGCTTAATATCTGGGCATATCTTTAATGATCTTCAATTTGGAAACCACCAAGGGGTTGTTCTAGTCACCTGTAGCATAATAGGTTATACGTTGTGCCTTATATATAGTATATGTGTTTTGAGAATTCCTTGTTCTAAAGAGTCAAACATAACATCTTCTGCATCACATGAGAACAAAGACAAAGCTATTCCGGAAAGCCAACAGGACAATATTGAATATACCGAGAGCAGTAGTTTGATCAATGCCCAGTCCAGTGAATCATTACCAGATAAGCCAAATAATGTTTCTAGAAAAAGTCCTGTCTCCAAGGTCCTCATTTTCCTCCTTTTCATTAGTGCTGCCCTATACAATTCATCAGTAAATGGTGCAGAAGATGTGATTAGTCTGTTTGTACTAAAGGAGCCTCTAAGATGGGGACAGGTAGAAGTGGGCTATGGAAATGCAGCAGCCTATATGATATTTGTTACAAGTTTTCTGGGAGTTATTGTTCTCTCCAAGTGTTTCAGTGATCTGAGCATGATCGTAATTGGAATGTTCTCATTTGCTGCTGGAATTATGACAATGGCCTTTGTTTCTCAGAGTTTCATGTTTTACATTGGTAAGTAATTAGAAAGAACATAACTATATGATATTTACAACAATATGTACAACTATCTAACGTTCATTTTTCTTCTGCTTGCTATTTTAATGCATGTGTTTGACGATGGTTGGGCATTATAGATTACAGATTATAGCAACGTACCTTGCTTATATATAGCAATTTATATTTGGGATTCCAAAAATACAGTTTCCTTGTTAAATTTAGATACCGGGGCTTTCCTCTCTCAGCTGGGACCAGAATTAGTAAGATTGACAATTAAATAGTTACTTAAAAAGTGTCAAAATACACTTGGGCAAATAGCATGTGATTTCTACTACGTAAATAGTGTCAAAATAGCCTTGGCTAAATAGAATGTGATGTATACGTTATAAAATGATATACTTGTGTGGTCCAATTTTGTTATCTGATGGATAATAAGCTTACAAGACAAACATAGCAAATTGTAAAATCGTTTCATATTGAAATTTTATTCTACTTCTTGTATTTTGTGATTTATAACTAACAAACGTAAACTGAAATCCTAGGCATATGATGTACTCTGAAAATCAGGACAAAAAAGGGATTTTATTTTGAATAATGGTTCTTAAGCCGAACAAAATATGCACTGATTTTTATTACCAAAACTGTGAAAAGATTTTTTTCTTATGATAAATAAGAATTTATATATGTTTATGCCACATCAATTAAAACCCTTTTTGTCTATTGACTATGAGGCCAACAACTTAAATGGGTTTAAGCTGTTTTGATGTATAGAGTGTTCAATCAATTTTACTTCCATTCCACTTGAAGATGTTGGTTTACCATATCAACAATACAATTATGTGTTTTAAATTCCTTTTAGCTTCAACTATGACAAAATTCCCATGGTAAATAGGAGCAAACTCTTCCTGTTTTTCTACAGATCAGATAAGTGCCTGACATCAGAAGAATATATGTTGTTTGATTACTGAAAACCTAGATAATTTTGTCCTAAAAAGGGAACATAGACCATATAATTAACAGTCATATACCTGTTACACTGTAGGTAGGCCCATTGTAGGTCTATAAATTAATGAAAAAATTAAAAGTGTGAATATGAACCTTAATATCCTCTGAATAAATAGAATGTTGTTGGTTATTTATAATTGAATTCCAAAATCTAGGGTTACTCCTACCAATAAAACAGTATTTTAATAAAGCACTATTTTTGCATTTGTACCCCTTACTGAAATGTCTCCCACTTTAACCAAATACCAGTATATATTAAGAAACAAACATTAAAATTACCTACAATCCACCTCAGGACCATGTTTTAATATTTTTATTAGTGATATTGCAGAAGGTCTTGATGGTAAGGTATGTCTTTTTGCTGATAATACTAAGATATGTAACAGGGTTGATGTTCCAAAAGGGATAAGCCAATTGGCAAATGATTTAGGTAAACTAGAAAAATGGTCAGAGTTGTGGAAACTGACATTTAATGTGGATAAGTGCAAAATAATGCATCTTGGACGTAAAAACTCAAGGGCAGGGTATAGAATATTTGATAGAGTCCTAACCTCAACATTTGTATCTCGTAGAGGTATTGATACTTTAGAGAGAGTTCAGAGAAGAGCTACTAAACTGTTTCATGAATTACAGAATAAAACTTACGAGGAAAGGTTAAAGGATCTTAATTTGTGTAGCTTGGAGGAAAGACGAGACAGGGGGATATGATAGAAACATTTAAATACATAAAGGGAATCAACACAGTAAAGGAGGAGACTGTATTTAAAATAAGGAAACCTACCACAACAAGAGGACATAGTCTTAAATTAGAGGGACAAAGGTTTAAAAATAATATCAGGAAGTATTACTTTACTGAGAGGGTAGTGGATGCATGGAATAGCCTTCCAGCTAAAGTGGTAGAGGTTAACACAGTAAGGGAGTTTAAGCATGCAAGCTATTTCTAAATATAACTTAAATGAAAAAAATAATAATTAAATGTGTCCATAGTTTCATTTGCGTTATAACTATTAAACAGTGATTTTTGTGTTTGTGATTTTTTTTGGGGAGGCAGTAGAGTGTCCCTTCGAATGTTAATCCAAGCACCATAACCACTTCAGTCTTTTGTAGTGGTCATGATGCTTTGAGACAGAATGTGCAGTAAACTGTCAAAGATGATAATAAACAAAGGTATAAAACTACAATGTGACTTGATACATTTTTAGGTGTACTACAAATCACACAGGAAGAAAAATCCCTCAGAAATCTTGTAAAAAATAAATTTAAAAAAGTCAAACAAAGTATGCTACTGAATTACTAGCCTCATTCTTTTACATAAGTCCACAATAGTCAAAAATCCATTTAAGTGGCAAAACTTTGGCAAGTTAGTAATGGATATAAATTACTGTTGAGTGTTTGTAGACACTCCAGTTAAAGGGACACTATATTCACCTGAACAACTTTAGCTTAATGAAGCAGTTTTGGTGTATATAACATGCCCCTGCAGCCTCACTGCTCAATCCTCTGCCATTTAGGAGTTAAATCCCTTTGTTTATGAACCCTCCAGTTAATAAATGTTGGCTTGGCATTGCACTATGTGCTTCATCTGGCCAGTTTCTACTCCTTGAGCAAAGTTCCAAATGTTGATAATAGTCACTGGGTAACCATTAATTTAGGCATAAAGATGAACTCTCCATCTCTCTCTTTATGAAACTTTTAGTCTCTTAAGTACTCCCTGAATGTCTATGTCTAGGAAAATATTTACAATAAATATGTTACATAGTAACCTAGGTTGAAAAAAGACTAAAGTCCATCAAATTCAAGTGTGTGTGTTCTCATGCACTCACACAGAAGATAATGATTTATTTATTTATTAGGTGGACGGCCCTGTTTATGGCTGCTATAACACTCCAGTTTGATTTGCTCAACGTATTAATTGCATTCATATTTGTTGGAAAAGGAGGAATAAAAAAAGCATTTAACAAGGACGAGCCTCAGACTTGTTTCAATATCTACTAACAGATTGCAATAGTGCAACTTTACTTTTAAATTCATTTTCTAATAATTTCATCTATACATTGTGCTACCCAAAGCACAAATGTTTGGATTTCCTGGAATCCAGAAATATATCTACAAACAACCACTAAACAGGAAACTACAAATGTTAGGTCAAACTAGAAAGGTCTCCAACTCATTCCCTGTTTTTTTAGATCTTAGCGTAATAAATAAAACTCCAAAGGGTTTACTTGTTTTTCTTATTCGCAAGTCTGCCAATTTCATTCCATAAATACTCTCTGACATTTAATCCTGTTCCTTCAATGCGGACACGGAATATGTTCATTTTAAACAACAATACACATCAATAGTAATGGGTTTACAATTGACAATAATATTATTTTATCTCAATTTTGTTTGGTGTTATCATGTTCCTCCTTTTGTTTATTATAGGAGATACCATAGTATCCATAGTATACAAGTTGGGCTTCCAGCAGATCATGTCAAGTAGTAAATGTCCCTAGGCAGATATTCAATACTGGCTTGGCCAAAAATATAGACCAGTGATGATAATGTCCTATTTAACACGTTCATTGTAAACATTTAAATTTATACTTCTAGCATGGGATAGCACGTTGGTAGGCAACATTTGACACCCCAGATGTTGTGAATTACATCTCAATTCATGCTGCGCCAGCATTATGGCTGTAAGAACATGGGTGGGTAGTTTACAACATCTAGAGTGCTGAAAATTGCCTACCCTTGGTAGTATATAGTGTAGTATAGTATGGTATTGTATAGTATCATATGGTATTTGAAACCATGTGTAAATCGTTATGTGTTTTTGGTTATTTTTCTGTCTTATATTTCAGCTCGAGTTGCAATGATATTTTCTCTGATACCAGTGCCGACAATCAGATCTATGTTATCCAAACGGGTTCAGGAATCTTCATACGGTGAGAAGCAAATTTACATCTCGGTGTCATGTAGATATTACATTCAAAGAAGGACATAATACTCCTTGTAATGGCTCCCCGGGCATAAAAGAGGTTAAAACCGTTTAGGCGATATTCCCTTTCCAGATGCAAAGGCATCTACTAAATACACCAATCCGCCGAACAGGAGAAACAATACAAACGCTCCAAACCATATGAACGTTCCAAACAGTGGAACGGGAAAAACCATTTGAAAGGTTTACACTCCCAAACAGGCAATAGTAAAACCATACGAATAATCCCCCCAAGTACGAGACGAGGCTCCATATTGAGGGTCAGCAGATGATCTGTTTAATCTGGGCTACCTGCCCGGTATTTATGCAGGTCTCCCACCAGGTGGACACTCCTATAAGGGACCTGGTGGGAAACTGGGACACAAATTGTACATTGACCAATAGAAACAGTTTAACAGTAAACACTCCCACATGCACATTATTATCCCTCCTCTCTATCCTGGAGATAATTGGGAAGTAACTCAATTATCTCCGAGGATAGAGGCAAATCTCCATTTTACACATGGTGAGGAAAACACATAAAATATACAATATTACAACTACCGAACAGAATAGATACATTCCCCAGATAGCTTAGATCTGAGCGCACATTATTACAAAATGGTGCTCAGATCACATACATGCAGTTCAATCGCATAGCTATTTGGGGTAGCACTGTTCACAAAATCAAAGTACCGAACGGCCCAACGTTCGTACAAACGAGACAGTAGAAGGGAGATTGGCAGCTTCAGCGGTGTTCGTGTGAAAGTCATAGCCGTTTCCAGTTCCAGGGAATCGTCGACGAACAACACTGAGCATTCGTCTGTTTAAGATGGCTGCTGCCACGTGTTCGGCTATACGAATAACGGCCACCCAGCGTTCATCAATTAAGCTGCGGTTAACTGCAGGTGGTCCGGGCATTCGTCTGTTGGTTCGGTAGATTCAATTTACCGAACGCCCTGGCAAAAAGGCAGGAACAAGCCTTTCTGCAGAGATAAATAAAGGTTTTTACATGGGGGCCATAATCCTGGGGCAGCAGGTGGGCAACCAGGCTTCTCCAGAACATAGTGGCGATGATGGTTTCGCCACACTCCTCTTCTAGAAATGCATCAATAAGTTATTTAAAGTGAGCCTATGGGATAAATGTAGACACAGAGAAACCGGATTATGTAAAGAATATAAGCTTTAATTTACTTTGTTCTGTGACAAATAATAATTATTTGACAAGTTCCAACTTTCATTGATCAGAGCTGTAGAATTAGTTTGTACTGTAAAAACAAACGTATACTAATAGTAATTATATGATTTACTACTTGCCATCTCTCCCTTCACATTTACTTCTGTTTTTTTTCTCTAGGAAATATCTTTGTTGTACTCCAAATGATCCTATCAGTCATCGGTGTGATGGCGTCAGCTGCATTCAATGCGATTTACCAAGTTACATTACATTGGTTTAGTGGATTCACCTTTATTGTGATCTTCATCATTGCATTCATAAGCTTTATTCCCATCAGGTAATGTAATGTTTAGAGCAGTACATTCAGCTGGCCTATCCAGCGTGTTGGTTTTCTTAGCCATCCAGGCTTCTTCTTGCATGGTTCTCTTTACTTTTATACAGCTGGTACAAAAATACAATGTCATAACCTTGTCTGTAATACAGAGAACACCAACAGTGAGCTGTTCTACACACTATCAATTACCAACTAACAGCATTTGAGATGTGTTGCTGAACAGCTGTGTCCCCACTGCAATTCATACTATTAAAGGGGAACTGCCACATCCCAATTTTTCTTTTTTCCTATTATGTTTACTTATACCTGTATATGACCAATATGTATTTTTAAAGGGGTGAAAAAAAAAAAGTTAAATGAAGAATGCCGTCAACTTGGTGCCTCCATTTTGGCTTCCTGTCATTCATTTTATTAGCTCTGTCTTATACACCTGGCAGTCAGCATATAGAAAGCATAAAGATAGGAAATTAAACAATATTTCAGCTTAGCCTTTCCGTTCCTAAACAAGATAATTACACAGTTGGCTAAAACTTTAATATAAATGTAAAATAAAATAAATACTTCTCATGAAAAATGATTTACACAAGTCAGTAGCGGAACTAACGTACGTATAAGAATTCTTTTGGGCCCCCCCTATTGCAAAAGCTATATCCCCATCTGTCATAAAACTCACACAATGCTTTGTCAGCTGGGGATCTACTATTTGCCCATCCTTACAGCATTGCACTTAGCACTGAGCACTTTTTGTTTGAATGTAAGCAAATGTGAGTGGATGTAGGGGTGTATTTAGAAACATAGAAACATAGAATGTGACGGCAGATAAGAACCATTCAGCCCATCTAGTCTGCCCAATTTTCTAAATACTTTCATTAGTCCCTAGCCTTATCTTTTAGTTAGGATAGCCTTATGCCTATCCCACGCATGCTTAAACTCCTTTACTATGTTAACCTCTACCACTTCAGATGGAAGGCTATTCCATGCATCCACTACCCTCTCAGTAAAGTAATACTTCCTGATATTATTTTTAAACCTTTGTCCCTCTAATTTAAGACTATGTCCTCTTGTTGTGGTATTTTTTCTTCATTTAAATATAGTCTCCTCCTTTACTGTGTTGATTCCCTTTATATATTTAAATGTTTCTATCATATCCCCCCTGTCTCGTCTTTCCTCCAAGCTATACATGTTAAGATCCTTTAACCTTTCCTGGTAAGTTTTATCCCGCAATCCATGAACCAGTTTAGTAGCCCTTCTCTGAACCCTCTCTAAGGTATCAATATCCTTCTGAAGATACGGTCTCCAGTACTGTGTACAATACTCCAAGTGAGGTCTCACCAGTGTTCTGTACAATGGCATGAGCACTTCCCTCTTTCTACTGCTAATACCTCTCCCTATACAACCAAGCATTCTGCTAGCATTTCCTGCTGCTCTATTACATTGTCTGCCTACCTTTAAGTCATCAGAAATAATCACCCCTAAATCCCTTTCCTCAGATGTTGAGGTTAGGACTCTATCAAATATTCTGTACTCTGCCCTTGGGTTTTTACGTCCAAGATGCATTATCTTGCACTTATCCACATTAAATGTCAGTCGCCACAATTCTGACCATTTTTCTAGTTTACCTAAATCATTTGCCATTTGGCTTATCCCTCCTGGAACATCAACCCTGTTACATATCTTAGTATCATCAGCAAAAATACATACCTTACCATCAAGACCTTCTGCAATATAACTAATAAAAATATTAAATAGAATGGGTCCAAGTGCAGATCCCTGAGGTACCCCACTGGTGACAAGTCCAAGCTTCGAATATATTCCATTAACTACAACCCTCTGTTGCCTGTCACTCAGCCACTGCCTTACCCATTCAACAATATTGGAATCCAAACTTAAAGATTGCAGTTTATTGATAAGCCTTCTATGTGCAACAGTGTCAAAAAGCCTTACTGAAATCTAGGTAAGCAATGTCTACTGCACCACCCTGATCTGTAAGTTACATAGTTACATGGCTGAAAAGAGACATTTGTTCATCAAGTTCAGCCTTTCATCTGTTTTGTGCTTCCAATTTTGCAACAAACTAAGAAAAAAAACACACCTTATTGACCCCAGAATGGCAGTCAGATCTCTCCTTGGATCAAGAAGCTTTTATCCCACAAAGTAAAAATATTATGTTTTTTGAAGTTATTCATCCAGTTGCTGTTTAAAAATCTGTACAGATTCTAATAAAACCACCCCTTGATGCAGAGAATTCCATATCCTTATTGTTCTTACATTAAAACAACTTTTCCTTTGCCTTATACTAAATCTCCTTTCTTCCAGTCTAAATGTGTGACTTTGTGTTCTATGTAGAGTCCTGTTTATGAATAGATTTCCAGACAATGGTTTGTATTAGCCCTGCATATATTTACCTAAAGCTAGCATATCCCCTCTGAGGTGCTGTTTTTCTAAACTAAAGATATTTAAATTTGATAACCTTTCATTAAAACTAAAATGCTCCATTCCACTTAATAATTTAGTATCTTTATATATTAATGTTGTATGTATCTGTCATCACATTCTATGTTTCTATGGGTTTTTTTAGTAGACTTCCTCTGTTCTTTTTCTTGTGTCGTAATATTCTTCTTTAGAACAGGTATCCACAATTGCACAGCAAGTTGTGGTTTTACCAGTGATTTATAAAGAGGCAAAATTATAGTTTCATCCAAAATGAATGCCCCTTTTTATACATGACAATGGCTTAAAGGGATTCTCCAGTGCCAGGAAAACATATTTGTTCTCCAGGCACTGCAGGACCATCTATTGCCCCTCTACCTCCCACCCCCCCATCCCAAGCTGCTGAAGGGGTTAAAACCCCTTTAGTGACTTACCGGAGTCCAGCGCCGATGTCCCTCGGCACTGAGTCAGGCTCCTCCTACTTATCTTCTAATATTTTACTGGCCTATATTTTACCATGATTTTGAAATATGGACTTATAATCATGGCCTCTGTCGTATAGCTTTAAAAAAAAATATTCTTGAGTGAATTATAATTTTTTGTGTAAATACATTCTCTCTGAAATCTGTGTTGCTGAAACTTTAGTTTGATTTATTTTGATTTACTTGCTAGAAAGAATTAATAAAATCTGGTTAACTTTTAATATTATTCTTATCAATCTTCAGTGAAACATTCTAATGTTGGAAGTTAATTTGTCAAATTTGTTTATTCTCTCCAGCATTGCATTCTGCAGGGAAAAAATTAGAAAAGAAAAATAAAGGCTGAGCCACAAGCGTATTTATCCATCTTAGAGTTTACATAAAGGCAAGACATTCCTAATATCGTTCCAGAAAAAAAGTGGTGGAGATCGAATAAACATATATTTATTGTTAAAGCTAAATATTGCAGTATTTATGTGAAATGCATTGGCAACGATGCTTTAACCACTTTGCCTCAACATGAACTATGTCTTTTATTTTCTAAATCTACCCCCCTGTGGAGATTCAGAGCAATGATTATTCACCGGAAGCTCATGGCACGTGAACTAATACAGCCCCTAAATACGAATTTATGAATCACTAAATCTAAGCAAAATCACCCATCTCTATGAGAAGCTTTGGAGATCTGTCTTGAATGCTTCTAACATTTGATCGGACAACCTTCAACACTACAATAAAGGGGTGCATCTTCATCGGCTGCTGAGACCAGTACTGCAGCTAATAAAAGGTAAGTTTTTAGGACTTACACAAATATTTGTGTACATTTTAGTAAATGCATATTTTTTTGCAATGATTAAAGGGGCAGGAATACAAACGTGTGTTCCTGAACCTATGGTGCTAAAAATACTATTTAGGTGGGAAAGCATTGGATTGTCAATTTTGAAAATCTCAGTCAAGGAGGCAGGGCAGGTGCAGGGGCAGGAGCCCGAGCCAAATGCAGCACCGGTCAATCAGCATCTCCTCGTTGAATCAATGCATCTCTAAATGGCAAGTTCAGCGTCTTGTGCAGCACTGACCTTGGAAACATCTCTAGTGGCCGTCTGAGTGACTGGCACTAGAGGTGTTCCTAGGCTGCAATGTAAACACTGCCTTTTCTCTGAAAATGCAGTGTTTACATTAAAAAACCTTCAGGAACAATATATAGAAACCAGAACAACTACATTAAGCTGTAGATGTTCTAGTGACTATAGTGTCCCTTTAACTGTAACCTTCATTACAATTGAGCCGATAACATTTATTGGCAACTTATCAGCTCCCATAAGCCTTTTATCAGTTTGAATAAATGTAAAAAAATGTTGCCACCTGGATTTAACTAAGAAAATAGGTAAGAGCCTCCTATTGTATAGTTACTGAATGGACGATTATCTTTCAACTGGCAACAAGTTACTTAACCCCAAATGATGCAATGAGTAGCTTCTCATGGTCGTGAAAAAGATGTTAGTTTGTTTTAAAGGGTCAAATCATTGACATGCATTAAGCAGAGAAAACATCTAAGGAGATTACAGAAACTACAAAAATTGGGTTAAGAACTGTCCAACGCATTATTAAAAAACTGGAAGGATAGTGGGGAACCACCAGTGATGGGCGCATCAGGGTAAGAAGAGCGGTAGATGAAGTGATGCACCCATCATGCCTAGTGCCTACTGTACAAGCCTGTGGGGACAGTGCTATGATCTGGGGTTGCTGCAGTTGGTCAGGTTCAGGTTCAGCAACATTATGTGCCCAAAGAATGAGGTTAGCTGACTACCTGAATCTACTGAATGACCAGGTTATTCCATCAATGGATTTTTTCTTCCCTGATGGCACAGGCATATTCCAAGATGACAATGCCAGGATTCATCAGCTCCAAACTGGTGGATTGGCCACCACAGAGTCCAGACCTTAACCCCATTGAGAATCTTTGGGATGTGCTAGAGAAGGCTTTGCGCAGTGGTCCAACTCTCCCATCATTAATACTAGATCATGGTGAAAAATGAATGCACCACTGGACTGAAATAAATCTTGTGACATTGCAGAAGCTTATAGAAACAATGCCACAGGGAATGCATGCCGTAATCAAAGCTAAAGGTGGACAAAATAAATATTAGAGTGTGTGACCTTTTTTGTGGTGGCAACTTTTTTTTTGGCCAGGTAGTGTATATACATGCTTTTCTGTCAGTAATCATATGAAAGGATTAGAGAAAAGCAGATGTGGTGACTACATTTAAAAAGGTGTTATTAATACAACCTGAGAATACAATCTACCGAGTGTACGAAAACGCTTCTGGTTTTAGGCCTGTTTGGATTTTAGCGCATGGGGACTGGGTGATGTCATGTATGTCAGTGAGCTCTCTTACTCAGTAAACGGGAGAACGATCAGTAACCTCTTTCATTACGCACATTGTCTCAAATTCGTTGTCTGTTTGCTTACTCCCTGGCACTATGTTCAGATTGCTGTGGACCTGCGAGTCCCAAAGGGCTGTCCTGTATTGTTACTGTCTTATTATGCTCCTTTTCAATAAAAATCTACATTTAATATTTAATCAATTATTTTGAACATCAACATTAGTAGGAAGCAACATGATTTTGTGAAAGAAAGGTCATGACAAACTAACTTAATTGTGTCCTATGAAGAAATGAGTAGAAATATAGATAGGGATGTTCCTGTGGATTTTATTAACAGACACAGAGGATCATGATATGCTGCACACTTTCTTTATTACATAATTAGCTAAGAATACAAAAATACAATACATAAAAAAATTACAAAAAATAAAGTAAATGCATCATTAGCCAATTACAGTATGCCAAAGTTTAAGAGAGAATAGAGCCTGTTCCAAATTATTATGCAAATGATATTTTTCTCATTTACCTAAATAATTGATGTAAATAACAGTAAGCATAATTCTCATGTTATCAACTATTAAGAGTACAATTGTAGATTATGCTAGCTTTAGTGTACCTATAATCTTAATTTTATTAATGACAGGAGGCGAGTATTTGCTTAAGTCTCTCTTTGCTAGAACTCGACAGCAGCACAGAAAACAACCAATCAGAAAAAAGTTAGGTACTATAAAACTCCCCCCCCCCATGCATCATTTCCTCTTTCAAGCTGCGACAAAACAGAACACAAGGCAGAAAATATAATGGGAAAAAACGAAGTCCTAGATACAATGAATACAACAATGTCCACCATCTGAAAAGAGCTGCCGAACCAGATAGCGTTGATGGACTGTAAACTGAAACGAGAGAAAAACAGTATCGAACAGGTTGATTATCCAATGAAATGTACTCTGAACAAACATGTAGATACCCAATGTGGCAACCAAAATTAATGTAATCTAGATCCCAACCCTATATATGAAAAAATAGACATAATAACAAGTGACAGGTTGCAGAGACAACAAGCAGAGTTGCATACATACCTGATGAACACAAACTATAAAGTTAAACAAGGGAGGGATAAGAACGGGTGGGAAATACTCGCCTCCTGTCATTAATAAAATTAAGATTATAGGTACACTAAAGCTAGCATAATCTACAATTTTATAACATGACAGGAGGCTTCGTATTTGCTGTTTTAACGCTCAGCCAACAAATCCAACGATGATTGTTTCGCTGGTACCTAATCCGGAAGTTACTAGAGCCATCCTAAACGGACCTTCCAACTGCGAGAAGTGACAGAAGACGGATCGATGAAGATGCCAGCTGTCGAGGCACCTCAAATGCGGGAAAACACTATACGCTGTTAGATCCATTGTACGTGGGGTTGCGACCTGTTTCCTAGCAGCCAGACCATGAGCTGCCAAGCTGACCTATTAGCCATTTTCCTGTAGGTGTAAACTGTCGAAGGTCATTTGCGAACTTAGAGCCGTGAGAAGAAACTGCCAACAGGTCTCGACTCTTGCTGTGGACGGCGGCCCCACCGATCGTGCCAGGTTACCAGGCAATGTGGCCTTGCAGGTAAATCTCCAACCTCACCTCACCAATTCCGTCATAGAACACATTAGGGTCTTTTCGTTCCCTCCTGACCTACCCGGTGGGTATTCTCATCCAAGAATACATTTATAAAGCAGGCAAGAGTGCGTCAAACTAGCCGTATCCTAAGTGAATCCAGTATCCCAACTGAACTTGTGTGGTGGAATGGTGGTCGACTATTCTGGGGATAGTGAATCCCGGTAAAATTCAGAGGGATGGGAAACGTAAACCAGAGTTGAGATTTCCATCCAGATATGTCGTCGTCTAAGAGTGATAAGATAAACGGATCCAATGTTGATTGAGATCTGTATAACAGCGAAGAGTCCTCACGTACTGTAGTGAGAGAGTGAAATAATCCGCTTACCCATAGTACGATCCTGTTCCATGCCCGACCTGTTGAAATTCGTGTAGGGGTTCCTGGTCTACACGCCACCTTCAAGATAGGGTATAACATAGTGAGACCCCTAGGTCCCTGCATCCATGACTGTCCGGGCACGTATCTCCCAGAGTAGGCCCCCGGTCAAGGGACCCAGGAATGTGAGTTCAATAACCGAAGTCAAGGTCTCCCTATAGAGGGATATCTCTCTTCTTAGCTTGGAGTCCCGCGAACACATATCATTCTCCAATACGCAGGCAAGGCAATACGCAGGCAATCCCACTTGATTGGGAAAAACTGTCTGCACAGTTTGTTGGCAATGGTCCAGATATCTAAAACAGAATGCAATTGACTGTTTTATATAGTGCAGATTATACCAAAACCTGCACTCTTGTATACCTGAGGCTCATCCGTTAGCCGTACCATCTCCAGGAGTGTATGTAAATAAACGGGAGTCTCCTCCCCGTTATACCTCTGGGAGTATTTATTGTGTGGGGTACAGTGGTCTGGATCCAGTAGATCCCTTACAGAAGGTGAAATAGAGGGATCCAGTCTAAATATGTATCCTGCCTGATCAGGCAGCCCTCTATAACGAAATCGGTAGCACGGTCGTAAGATCTAATTGAATGCAGGAGGGACGCCCCTCTATGCAGTCATCGTTGTCCTGTACAGGTACAAGCCTGTGTGATGAACAAATGGACGGCACCGTACTGCGTTGAGTGTATGAGAGAGCCGCGCACTCTAATAATGTGACCGAACTCCTTGTCAGCGTCCGGCTGATAGTCTGAGCGGGCCGCACCCGTAAATAACCAGACAGTAGAGTCTACATCCGTGACCGGTTCTCTCTACGAGAATGCGTCACTTAAGACATGACCTCTGTATCCAGGTCAGTAACGGGCTGAGGTTGAGGGAGGGCCGCGCCCTCTAATAACAGATCAGTGTGTGATTCCGTATATGGGAGGGGTTCGCTCTCTGTTCGTGAAAGTAAAATATCATTCTCGGATCGAGGTGATGGAGGGTCACACCCTCTCGTAATCCAAACTAGAGTCCTTTAGAGATTTAGGGTGACCAACTGCAGGGGTACGCCATTCACTAATATCAGCATAAGACTGAGATCCTGAGGTGGGTCTCTCACTGGCTGCGAGACCTCTCTCTGAATCGCTCACCTGAGGTGGAATTAACTGGCAATAAACCAGACCGATGGAAGATGGAATAGTATACAGCCTCGGGCCGTGTCCATCCTTAATAACAGAAAGGGATGGTGAGAAAATGCAACCTACGGAAACAATGATGGGAACTACCAACTGACCGCCCAGATTCCCGCGCGCGCGGGGTCCAGGATGACCGTTGGTAGCCTGAGGAAAGCTGGAGACGTTCTCCGCAATCCACCAGAGCCCAGGAGATCGGAGGAGGTCAAGTCAGGCCTCTCGACGACCCAAGCGATAGGACAATTGGAAGGGTTGAAAACCAAGCAACGACAAATAATGTAGATAACAGTAAATACGTACCTCGGAGAGCAGGTAAATAGCAGATAGGAACAACAAGTCAAGTAAACCCAACTGAAAGGGTCAGGAGCTAAACATGACGTAGGACTAACTACCAATACCTAAGATGGATACCGGAAAGGCAGCTAAATGGTTAGTTGCTGAAGGCAAGGCAACCGTGCTCCCCTGTTGGCGTCTGAGCAATGGTCCCTGCTGGTGCAAAATTCTCTTCAGAGATGTGCCGCCGCCGGGTTGGTATGAACCGTGGTGGCGCGCCCGGGGATCCTCATAACAAAAAACCTGGCCCTTAAGTGTATGAGGTTTAGGGCCTTAACCCTTTCAATCATATTGAGGTGCCCATGTACTGGTGACATCTTGGATGGTAAGGCAGCAGAGCTTGCCTGGATACCCATCTATTTGGGTAGAGTCCCCCTAATTATCTGTAAATCTTCAGGGTATCCCCAGACGCCAACCCTTTAGACAGTGCAATACTGTGTTAATACAACTGAACTGGGACTAGCAGTCCCTAAATGCCCAGCAGGCAAAATAGCGGTATATAGGCAGAAAAATGACTATAATGTCCATTAAATCATGGTATACAGTGCAACTCATATTTTAACCGTGAATGGGTTATGTACATGAACCTGCAGCCCTGTTTCAGATTTCTTCATCAATATCATGTATCATCAGCATACTATCTGATGGATCAGGCACATATACACTGAAGCACCTGGATTGCAGAGCCAGAACCCCAGTGGGGAAAGAAACCTTGAACTGCGACCACCGTGGGTGGAGGAGGGGCCGCGGTCAGACGCACCCTCCCCTAGCCGGTCTAATGCTAGAAGGAGCCGTCCGTGCTTCAAAGGAGCCACGTGGCTTTAGAGGGAGCCGTCTGTGGCGAGGTGGCCACGTGTGTGAGTGGCCCGGCCGTTGGGTACTCGCGTCCGACCGCGAGAAACCCCGGCTCCGGCAGGCTCACACTGCAGCTCGGGGAATCAGAGGAGGCAACCTTTAAACGGCTAGTCTCCTGACTCCCTGAGCGGAGTGCCCGTAGCCCGCGGGGAGGGTTAACGGAAGGGCACCAAAGAGTGGGGCAGGGGGAGGGTGAAAAACGAAGGGGAGTAAGCTGAAAGGTACTCCCATATAACCACCACAATTAGAGGAAACATCCCCAAAGAAACAGGGGAGGCCAATAGGAGACAAAAGGGCAGTAAACCCAATTAAATATATGAAGCAAATATAACTAAACATAATATGTATAAGGCATAAAAATAATATATAAAAATGTATATATAAAATACAAATATAATATGACAACTAATACAATATATAAAATATAAATATATAAAATAAATATATAATGTGAAAACTAAGCATAATTAATATAAATCATAAATAAATCATAATAAAACCCAAAGCCACCAACTAGAAGCAGGAGGCAGTGGTACTCTGACCTGTACTGACTGCGGAGCAGCAAAGAAAGAGGAAATGATGCATGGGAAGGGGAGTTTTATAGTACCTAACTTTTTTCTGATTGGTTGTTTTCTGTGCTGCTGTGGAGTTCTCGTAAAGAGAGACTTAAACAAATACGAAGCCTCCTATCATGTTATAATATTCAAATTTTATTGAACAAACCTCCTAATGATAACAGTATTTTTTTTAAACATAAAAAACTTACAATGCACTCTTCCAAATTATTACGCACAGTAAGTTTCAAAACACTTTATAGGTTGTAAAGGACTGAAAATTGTCATTTGTTGTATTTGCAACATATTTACTGAAATCAAAAGCTATTTTAATCAAACTTATAACAACATTTTGACTTTTTAAACATTTTAACAGGTCACGTTACATTTTAACATAGGACCCATTATTTGATAGCAGCTTCACAAGTCTTGCATCCATTGAACATGTGAGTTTTTGGACAGTTTCTGCGTGAATTTGTTTGCAAAATGTCAGAATAGCCTCCCAGAGCTGCTGTTTGAATGTAAACTGCCTCCCACCCTCATAGATCTTTTGCTTGATGATGCTCCAAAGGTTCTCAATAGGATTGAGGTAAGGGGAGGATGGAGGTCACACCATGACTTTCTCTCATTTTATCCCCATAGCAGCCATTGATGCAGAGGTATCCTTTGCAACATGAGATGGTGCATTGTCATGCATGAAGATGATTTTATTACGGAAAACATAGTTCTTCCATCTGTACCAGGGAAGAAAGTGGTCAGTCAGAAACTCCACATACTTTGCAGAGGTCATCTTTACACCTTCTAGGACCCTAAAGGGGCCGACCAGCTCTCTTCCCATGATTCCGGCCCAAAACATTACTCCACCACCGCCTTACTGACGTTGCAGCCTTGTTGGAACAGGGTGGCCGTCCACCAACCATCCACTACTCCATCCATCTTTACCATCCAGGGTTGCACGGCACTCATCAGTGAATAGGACTGTTTGAAAATTAGTCTCCATGTATGTTTCTGCCCAGTGCAGCCGTTTCTGCTTCTGAGCATTGGTTAGTGGTGGCAGAATAGAAGGTTTATGCACAGTTGCAAGACTCTGGAGGACTCTACACCTTGATGTCCGTGGGACTCCAGAGGCACCAGCAGCTTCAAATATCTGTTTGCTGCTATGTAATGGTATTTTAGCAGCTGCTCTCTTGATCCAATGCACGGATCTGGCAGAAATCTTCCTCAATGTGCCTTTATCTGCACGAACCCGTCTGTGCTCTGAATCAGCCACAATTCTCTTAATAGTGCGATGATCACGCTAATGTTTTCATATCTCGTCCAAGGCATTGAACTGTTTCATTCTTTTCGGCACCTTTTTCTTCCCCATATTGCATGAAAATGGTGCTCTGCTTAATAATGTGGAACACCCTCCTTTAGTAGTTTTTCCTTAAATTGGGCTCACCTGGCAATCTAATTATCACAGGTGTCCGAGATTGTTTTCAGTGATCAAAAGAGTCCTGAGACACAATGCCATCCATGAGTTAAACTAAAAAACTAAATATTTAATCTTTGTGACACTTAAATAGAATTTGCATAATAATTTGGAACAGGGTGTAATGCACTCCACCATCTGTTCCAGTGGACGTGATTTACTTGGATTTTGCTAAGGCATGTGATACAATACCACACAAAAGGTTACTATTGAAGTTGAAGTCGGTTGGTTTAGAAGACAATTCTTGTTCTTGGATAGAACATTGGCTGAAAGATAGAGTGCAGAGTGTAGTTGTAATAGCTGCAGCAGTTAGACAGTAATGATATAACTGGTAAAAGGAGCGATTAGTGCCTGACTTTGGATGCAGACCTGTCCCATTACGTGGTTTATCTCTTCGTTTCTGTTACCTGCTTGTTCTCCTCTTTCTTGGCAGGTTTTGACCCTTCTGCCTGTCCTGCTTTTTTTCTGGTAGTTGCTGACCTCTCTGTCACCTGATTCAATACTTTTTCAGAACAATGCATAACTGGATAATGAGCCAAAAGACTGCTATAATGAAAATTGCAATAAATTAGAGGGCAAATCGGCCTACAATATAGAATTAACTGTTTAGCTGATATTTTATATGTTTATATGTATGATCTCACAAAATGTCAGCAAACGTCGTTCTGTACTACTGTTGGTTTATACAATTAAGGATGTCAGTTCTTTGTTTTTTTCATAATGCCATACTGATTCATATTCGGTATTATACCTTTAAGACAAAGTTGGTTATTATACCTTTAAGACTATGGTGTACTATTTAGGATTTTTGTTGACTCCATGTCATGTTTTGGAGTTTATTCTATATATGTGGTTAATAGACATGCCGAAACATCGCACTTGGCACTTTTTATGAGGTGGTGTACCCATAAATAAACATACCTTCTTGATCCTGGAGTGTTGCCTGTGTTCTTCAGCTTTTGAGCTTATACAAAATATGTCAGTATTTAGGTGAGGTGAGGAGAGGTAGAGTATGAGTCATGACATAAATACTGACAGTTGCTGAACAGGGTAGAATAGAATGAGTTCAAGAGTAGTATTGCAGTGCTAGAATTGAAGTACAAGAGATAAAAGCAGAAACTTGTGGAGTAAACCAAGCCAAACTTGCGCACTGCCTTGAAATTGATTAATGCCTTATATTATTGCAGGCTTAACATAGCATGAGGATAATGCCACTGGGTACAAATCGCATAAAAATAAAAACAAACGGGGGGCGTGGCCAACCGGGGAACTGAATGGACGCACACTGATTCAGCTCCCTCTGACTCATAAGGCAATCCAGTGCAATTGGAG